GGTAGCCTCCTTCCAAACTTCCAAGCAACACCCTTCCAGTGATACCAGACAGATCCCTGGCAGACAGCTCCCCTCATTCAGCTTGCTGAAGAAACACAGGTCATCCCCTCTCAGGGCGCCCACCTGAGACCGCATGGCAGCAGGTACCAGGCAAGGCAAGCCTACCTCCAGCCTGGCTTGGTGAAATGCTCTCCAGGAAAGACCCTAAGCCCTTGTGCTAACATATACATAAATACCACTCCCAGCATGCAATGAGGCCACCCTTCCCTGCAATTAACCCGGGCTGTATCCAAATTCATGCTTTTCATTTGCTTAGCTCCTGTCTATGTTCTAGAAGACTCTACTAGTTTTCCTGAAGGCAGGTGGAGCTCAAGAAAAACTCAAACAGCACCAGAGCATCATGAACTGACCTGACTAATCAATTGCAGCACTCTGTTAAGCAGAATACCAAACTGAATTTACCCAACAGCCTCTCTGTTGAGCAGAGAAACACAGCTATACTTATTCTAGCTGTACAAATCCTAGCACCTATCTAGGAGGGTGCTACACTAATATATGGATATTGGTATTGTTGAGGCTTGAACCTTTTATATGTTTTCACTGTTGAGGCTTCCAGTGATATAGTCTTAAAGAGGTTGAGAAGAAGACCTATACTCATTGGTGCTGCAACAGTTGACACAAGTCAGCAGTGGATGGAGGACTGGTGACAGCAGCCTTGTCTGTGAAGTGGCCCGGGCAGATTCCAAGGCACATTCATGATAACATCCGGGTGGCTATTATGTGGTCCTCAGCTATTAGATGGACCGAATTTGGAGCCAGAGAGTAAGCGAGGCCTTGGAAAGTGAAAAAATTTGAAATTCACTCTTGATCATGCCTTTTCAATAGAACAATGCTGGAATATGTATGTGGGATAGAACTGGGGGAATGGAGATGGGCTTCACCATTCCATTCCTAGAGCTTTTCAGGAATGGAGTTGTGGGTGCCCAACTCTGTTCCTGCAAAACTCTAGTTTTAGGGCTGCCTGGGCCAGGAACTGGCTAAACAACTCAGCTCCCAGTGGCCTGGCCTTAACACTGGATAAATACATGATCCACATACACATTGGAGTTCTAAAAGAAAGAATAATCTTCTCACTATTTCCAAGTATTTGAAATTTAAAAGGACCTGCAAACCTGTAACCAAAGTTAATGCATGTAGAAGAGGTTCAGACAACCTCTACATTTGTAAAAGTCCCCCTCTCTGTACTGGCCATTTTATATTTGCAGTGTACATTTGACCAATGTTCTGTGTAAGGCTACTGCCATATGTGGGATCTGGAACAATTCACAGTCCTGTACAGTCCCAGCCCTGAACTTCTGATCCGTGAACATTGTATCCCAGAGCCTGTATAGACCCCAGGCCGCTCCTATGGAATACATTAAACTGCAAGTTTATGACATAAAAAGAAACCCTCTCCCAGAAAAGGGCCAGATGTGGAAAATATGAAGTTGCAGCCATGGCCATTCTCTTCTCAGATGCAGGTGTAAGAAATTAGGAGACATTGAGCACAAAACCTTCTCTGCTTTATCCCCGCTCTGCTTCGCTGTGAATACGGAAAACACCCATCGATTACAAGAGTCTGAAATTGGGTCATCCAGCAGCTCAACGATGACTGCGCTCTCCCTATACAGAAGCCTGCAAGAAGATGAGAAATTTTAAAAGGTACAGGAATAATAAAGCAGATAAAATGCTGCGCAAACAGTTGGCACTATATAAATCCTGTATAATAATAATCTAAAGCCAGAATTTATATATGTGGTAAAATGAGACGTGGACACCGTCTGTCCTAAGAAGGCTTTACTGTGCTATGAGGTTTTTTATTGAACTATCTTCCTTCATTGACAGATTGACAACCAGGCAGAGATAGACAGCTAGGGAATACGAATCCTCACCATTGGTGCAGATCATGTAATTAATGCTGAGGCACTGGCCAAGTGACTGGGCAGATGTTTCTAGCTACCAAAATCATTACATTTTTGAATGAAACTGAATATTAAAACTGAAAACCCAAAAATGCATTGTGCTTTGAGCTTGTCTTTTGCCTTTTAGCAGCTAAACACTAGTATTGTGGCCCCACCCTCACTTGTTTTATAGGTACAGGATCCTGTGCAGACATCCTCAGTCTGGATTCTGTACCTGGTTAGCTGATGGAGTTTGGATTTTTTTGGCTACATGTTTGTTCCAGAGCAGTGACTCACTGGGTAGTGAAGGATGCCAGCTGCAAATCCAACTTCTTTAAACACCAATACATCACTTTCATCTACCATATTCATTGCCTCAGAGCATCTCTTTAAATCCGTTATTTTCAGCCAGGGTTCTGTGGAAATCTAGAGTTCCTCCAGAAGTTGCTAGGGATTCTCTGGGATTGTCCACCCATCTGATGGTGCTTGCTTAGCTCTAGGGCCAACACTGATTGGCAGAGTCAGTTGCATGGCACCAATGATCTTTTTAGCTGAATGGAGGGAATTCTGACCACGACTATAATAGGTCTATTCTTACCACTAATCACCAATGTAAGGGGGGGGGTATTTCCAGTCAAGCTGGCCATATATGGTTAGTTTTCTTTTTTTTTATTCAGCAAGTGGGCTGACCAGAAAAAAAAAATTCCTCCATCCACACAAACATAGTGGATGAAGGAACCCCCCCCCCTTCCCGGCTGGGCCATGTTATTCTTACAGTTGCACCCACTGTCAATGGTTGATGTAAAATTTTCCAAAATTTCCCCTTAACAGAAGTTGATTAAACAATTGACTTCTGTCAAGTAGGGGAGCCCCTGCAGGATTGGCCAAAATATCGATCAGTGTATGGGCCGATCCCAATGAATTGCTTTTAGCAGGGGTTCCCTAAGACTCAAATATTATTTTAAGGGTTATTCTGGGGTAAAAAGCTTGAGAAAGGCTGCCATGGCATAAAATGCATCGTTACTAATCTGCCAATTTTTGTTATTTAATTGATTTAAATAATTATTTAATTTTAAATAAAAACATTTTTATCCATAATAACATTTACATAAGCTTACTGATTTCTAAAGATTTATAATTGATGTAAGATAAGTATCCAGAACACCCTATGTGCAGGGTGAAAATGATGGTGAATGATGAGATAGGTCAAGGCATCTGTCAGTGCTCTGTTTAGTTCTAGTAGCCTCCCTGGCGGTATTCCCAAGTGTAGCTCGGGGTAAAGTTTCAGTACCACAAGCGGTAACCCCGAGTACACTCGGGAATACCCTGCGGCACTGCTCCGGGATCTGTTCTTCTTTTACCTTGTCCTTCGCTCCCGCGATGTCCCCCCTGCAGTGTCCCTGTAATGTCCTCCGGCAGATGTCGGCATCTGTCTTCTGGGTTCCGTCCTCTGCAACATAAGGGCGTACGGGGGACGGAACTGGCGGGAAATTTAAAAATGACAAAAAGTGACATTCACTAAAATCACTAAAATCACATAGTAAAACATTACTGTATCAAACCATTTGACATACATTTTGTCCCGAGTGCTTTGTCCTGCGCCCTGCCTGCATTTTTATTGTTCTTTCTGCCTGGAAACTGAGAAACGTCCATGGCGTCCAAAAAGTGTCCCTTTAGGTCAAAATCGGTTTTAGACCGGCTAGAGAACAGCGATAGTAAATTAAAACTACTTGCAGAATTGAGTGATAATGATTTGTGGGGAAATTCGTCATCAGACACTGAAAACGATTTTGCGACTTTGCTCAGTGATGTGCGAACTTGGAGATATATTTCAAATTTCAGTGTTTTTGGTTTGATTATATTATTGAATTACATTTATTATTATATTAATATTTTTATGATTATTTATTAAATTATAATTTATGATTTCGTGTTTCAAATTTTAACATACCCGGGATGTTTACTAGACTCATGTTCAGACAGATTTCAGTGAGTTATTCCTAAAAATTACAGGCCTTTAAGGACTGTCCACTTGCAAGGACACAAGATGGAAACCAATATGCTGGTTGCATCCAGAAAAAACAGCAGTTACAGCTAAAGACCATGTATCCTAAACCTGGCTGAAATCGAAGATGGCGGCTTAGTTTAGCACATGAATCATTCGTATAAACATATGTTCAGTTTCTCTTGGAAACTCATTTTATATGCCTCTGTAGAAGCATTAAATGCCCTTTCCTACCCAGGCCAAAAAAAATGTATCCTTGCAAAATCAAGAAATACACACTCAACTCTTGCTTGGCGTCACGTTCTCTCACCATAAAACTTTGTTTGCAAACTTTTGTAATGGCGACACATTACATTTAAGTGTGACAACAACTCGGCTTTGTGAGGCGCCAAAACAGAGTCAGAGACAGCTGTACAAAACACTGAAGGGGGGCAAGACAACTGCGAGTGGTGAGCCTGGGAACAAATGGCACATGGGAGATCAGTGCTGCCAGGGAAGAACAGCCAGCCCTTATCATATGTGTTCTCTTCATAGATATCTGAAGCACACTGGATTCCCAGGATTCTTTAGTTGCCACCCAGCTCTGATCTCACTGCCTGGGGGTGGAGTGACCATAATTAGAGCTGGTGTAGGCAGGCAAAGTCTTGGGCATAATGTGAGTTTGAAGCTCACATCAGGCCATTAGATTCCTATTCTCCTTTGGAGTGGATGATGGTTCTGAGGTTGCTCTTGGCCTGCGTTGTATTGCGTTTCCATTGAAATGCAAAGCTTACCATGCATTCAAATGTAAAATGCAACATTTCACAATAACACCTGTCTACACTATGCCCTAATGAAGCCAAGAATTAATTACACTCAAAAGACATGCTGGTAGGTGAATTGGCTCCTGTCTAAATATTGGATCCTGTCTAAATTGTCCCTAGTATGTGTATGTGTGAATGTAAGTTAGGGACCTTAGATTGTACGCCCCTTGAGGGTTAGGGACTGATGTGAATGTACAATATATATTTAAAGTGCTGCGTAAATTGATGGCGCTATACAAGTACCTGAAATAAATAAATAAAATAAAATAAATGATTTTTGAAGTTTGTTGCATCTCTCTGTACTGAAATCGTCTGGTTGTGGAAGACAGCTGAGACGACTGTGTGAACTGATTGGAGCAGAGCTAATGTGCTGCAAACAGGCTAATCAGTATGTGATGAGTGTTATGCTGGGTACACATGGGCTGAATAGCAACCCAAATCAGCTGGTATAGCAGAAAACACACACCTTTTGGCCCATGTGTACAGCTCCTTGTTTGACAGAAGCTGGTTTCATGACTGGCTTCTGTGGAATGGGCAAGCTGGAATTTCATAGGGTTGCCACCTCATCCTGTTAAAACCAAAAACATATTAATTACACAGGTTCCGGGGCTAATTTAATGTAGATAAAGCACTAAATGAGTGTAATTACCACCCTAATCAGCCTTAGAACCTGTGTACTTAATATGTGTTTGGTTTTAAAGGGATGAGGTGGCAACCAGGGGCGGACTGACCATTTGGAAACTAGGGCACTGTCCGAGGGCCTGGGTCCAGTAGGGAGCCCCATAAGATGCCCCTGGTACCTTTTTCATAGGCTTTTTTGAGTTTGGACAAGAACACAGGGGCACCATGATCCCCTATTGCCCGGGGGCCCCATGAGTTGTCAGTCCGCCCCTGGTGGCAACCCTAGCTGGAAATCCAGTATCTGATCAGTGCTTTTAGCCAATGGTTGCTAGTGCTGACCCGTGTGTTCTGGCGGAGAGGTCTGTCCTCTTTTCAAAACACAATAGCATGGTGGGGGAGATCATTGTAATATAATTGCTTGTGTAGCACTACCCACTTAGGAATCGCTGAAGTTTTGGGTACCCCTAGGGTCCACACAGACTTGCATCCAGCAGACAAAAACCAGTCCTTGAGCTTGTTTTTTTGGATTTTATTAGGGTAGTTGAACTTGGATAGGGTAAGGGGTGTATGGGATGCCCAAGGGTAATGGCAACAGAGGACAATCTTCTTGAACTATGTACAAGTCTTTACAGCAAAATTCTCTTCTGGAGAGCTAGCCAGCATCTCCTATAGTACCACCCCCAGATACTCCTTTATCTGACTGACTGAAGGAATCCATGGACAGGGGATCCAGTGCCTGTCACTTTAAATTTAAGACAGCCCCGGGTAGTAAACTAATCCAGTTTCCCACTGAAGTGCTCCTTCCCCTTACTTGCCCAGGGGGTACAGGTCTACTCAGTCAGTCCTTCTCCTATGAGCTGCTGGGTCGGTGGCTGCTCTCAGGTCTTCTGCTGGGCTGCTCCTTCCCTGCTGCATAGATGGCCCTCGCTCTGGGGGCAAGTGAAGTCCTGAGCTTTCCCCTTCCAAGATCCTCTGCCTTTAGGGGAGCCTCTCTCCATCTGGGGCCCCCTCCCAGGCTCCTGCTCTCCAGCCTCGCTTCTCCATCTTCCGAACTCTCTTGCTACTGAGCAGGCTCAGCACTCTTACGGGTTGTCATGGCCCCAAGCCAAGCCTCCTGATGGGGATTGGACAGGATCCCTTGAGAATGCAAACCAGCCACTCCTCCCTCCCTCCCACTTCTTCTAGAATTTTCTCCAAAACTCTAGAGCAGGGGAAGTCCCAGAGAGCTGGTCTGAAGAGCCTCTCAGCCACTGACCAAAATTTGACCCCCTGACTATTACACCTGGCCCTTCTGAGAATTAGAAATCTAGCTCCCCCTAGCTACCTAGGAAGGTGCTACACTTGTGTTAGTACAGTGATCTGTAAGTTTTTGTTTTTTTTTTCATTCAGCCCACTGGGTTGAGTGAAAATAAATGTATAGTGTATACCAGGCATTAGGGTGGCTTCACACTGTCCCGCTGCTAACACACGGTTTTTGTGAAGAACATTGTAGCTGACAAATGTCTGTTTTACAGGGGTTTGACTTTTTTTCCTGCCCCTAAATGCCCCTCTGTGTTAGCCTATGTGTGCATTGACACATACGTAGGCTTTTAGAGGAGGTTAGAGACAGGAGCATTCAGGGTCAGAAATCTGAACTTGCCAAAATCGTTCAGGAGAGGAGAATATAGGCTTCTTTAGCATCTTTTCACTTTAATGGTCAGATTAAATTAAATGATAAGTTCACTTTAAAAAAAAAAAAAAAATACAGGTAAAATAAAAAAAGTGTGCATTTATTATTTTTTTTACTTGGAGCCGGCAAAGCATTGCACCCATGATCAGCAGATTGTGGGTGCCATGCAGGACTCCTGCAGATTTGTCAGTGTATCTGTCTACTCGTACCTCATACAGGCAGGCAGATACATACTGACAGGAAGGGACTACGAACTACCATATTGCTCAACAGCACTGTGGTAGTTCATTAACAACTACAAGCTGACAGCCGCAAAGACTGTCAATACTTGTAGTTTCCCAACCACAGAACCTTGTGAATGAATGACGCAACCAGGCGGCCACGTATTTTTTTTAAAATAATGACAGCTAGTGAGGGGAGAAGATGGCACGCTGGCTGTCACTAGATGCAGTGGAGTGGGCAGTGGCCGCAGGAGTGGGAGCATGTTATATGTTCCACCCTAAAAAACGGGCAGAACATGTAACGTTCCCACAAGTGAACTTATCCTTTAATATTCTGGCCAAAGAAACACCCAAGGGCTTGACATGCCTAAACGTGTTTACAAAAGTGCTAGTGTGCATGAAGCCTTAACTGTGCTCTCCAATAGACTCCTATGAGGTCGTGCGGTTTCAGAAAGCGCACCAAAACTCCTGCATGCTGCATCTTTGGTGCGCTTTCTGAAGCTGCACTAAAACTGTGGAACACCATAGAAGTCTATGGGAAAGCGCAGCTATCATGCACAACAACCGCGGGTTCGCTGCACTTTGCCCAAGGATCAGCAGGGCTGCACTGGGGCAGTGTGAAATCGCCCTTAAAGTAGTATTAAGCCCAAATATGTAATGGATTTCTGCTTACTAATCTTTAGATGCGGTAGCTGCATTTGTTTTGTTTTTTTTGTTTATGATTTTTTTTTTTGTATTTTCGCCTGGTGACCTAGTAACACTCTTCCTGTCTAAGGGTGTCTCCTGTCTGGATGGAAGAGCAATGGAGACACGTTAGGACAGCAGCATTGTGAACGTAGGGAGAGGGTAGTGTAAAGCCGGACATGCATTAATCTAAATTCCACATGGAGTGGCAAATTTTGATCCATGTATGGACAGAGAGGTTGTTTACTAATCAACGTCTATACCACCAGCCCTGTTGGATTGTTGCTGCTGCATCAGGGCTGCCGGCTATGGCCAGCAGTACTGATCAGTGTATTCTGACAGCGGGGAAGCCTTCTTGCTGTCAGAATACAATAGCTCAACGGGAGGATTCCCCCATCCACATCAAGTATGTGGATGGGGGAATTGGGTCAATTTGTTGTTTTTTTGCTTAACTCACCGGTTGAAATAAATGAACCAGCTCATGTATGGGCTGCTTTAGAGTATAAGATTTAGATAGACCTGCCTCACATATTAAAGCTGAGCTCCAGGTAACATTTATACGCAGTTACAGTACGGGTTTTTTCTTTTGGGATGAAAGCTTTACATCAAATAAAATCTGATCACTGTAAGCACCCCTGTCTTTATTAAATGGTTTGTCTCAACCCTTTAACTGTCACTTTTGCTGGACAGCTTGGTTTACTAAAGGAAGTTGAAAAATAACAGGCTTACTGGCCAGATCACCAGGTGAAAGTAAAGGAAAAAAAAGTCTAAAAAATGAAAACTAATGCAGCTACCACATCTAAGAATTGGTAAGCTGCACAAAGCTACATTTTTGTTTTTGAGTTTAATACTGCTTCAACAATGGAGCCTGTGGATGGATAGTGTACACACCATGTGCCCGTTGTTGTGATACCAGAACCAGTGCTCACCTAGAGTCCCCACACCAGTCACCGACCAGGACAGATTCCTACAGGGTTAAACACCCCCCAATCATGTATGCCATCAAAGGGGACTGATCACTCATTACATTTAGGCAAAAGTATGGTAAATGTAATTTTCCATTTATATAAATGTGAAATAATATATCTGCTCTTTCTAAATCTCCCTCTCACTGGAGTTTTAAGATCTGCAAAGTAATTAGCTGCTGTGGACAAACTTTTTGATAACTCAGATTGGCGATGTCCCAGCAAGCAGAACCAAGACTCCCAGCCATGTAATGTTGCATGATTCTGATTTTTAATATTTTCTAAATGTTGAAGAAGAAATGTGTATTTGCTGCACTGTCAGCCTCCTTGCAGAGGATATGAAATTTATTCTTTATGACTTTGTTAGTCACTTCGCTGGAGGCCGTTCTACCCTCCTGTCAGTGCTGGACCCGCCAAGTGAAATGTGTTTGGCAAGGTGGGTGAAAGGTGCTTTAAACAATGAGTTTGTACAAGGAAATTTAATTAAGCAGAGTGTTCCTGCCGGCTCCAGCTGGAGGAATCACACAAAGTTCGTACGGCTGTCCTCCCTGCCAAAGAGCGCTTGGAATTTTTTTGGGGTCTGACATTTGGGCTGCAGGGAGTGCCAGCTGGAAGAACAATCTACCCAACAGTTCCTCTGAGTGCCAAATTATGTCAGCCTCCTAGGGTAGAGCGCAGCACCTCCTCACCCTTTCACTACTGGAGAGACGCTGATCTGCAAAGGCTTCGCTGTGTGGAGGGACGGTCACCTAAAATGAGAAGAAATAAACAATATAAAACTTTTAGGTCATTTCCATCCAAAGGGAGAGCAGCTGAAATCTGGCTCCAGCACACAACACCTTTGTAAGACGCATTCAGGCATACACCGCAAGAATTCAGTGTATTTCTATACCTGGAATCAGGGGCGGACTGAACATTTGGAAACTCCGGCACTGCCGGAGGGCCCGGGGTCAGTAGGGGGCCCCATGAGATGCCCCTGGTACCATTTTCATAGGCTTTTTTGAGTTTGGGCAGGGACACAGGGGCCCCATGATCCCCTATTGCCCGGGGGCCCCATGAGTTGTCAGTCCGCCCCTGCCTGGAAGTCACTGGTGTTAGTGTACAGCCGTGGACACAGCCTATACAAATCAATGACAGGCTGTCATATGCTGCAGTTGTATGGATTTACATTTTTCCCCAGGAGCCTGCAAAGCATTGCACCCATAATCAGTGGATCACAAGTGCAATGTCAGGCT